TTTTTTTTTTTTTTTTTTTTTGGTACCAGGGATCAAACTCCAGTCCTTGTGCTTGTGAGGCAGGTGGCAGAACTATTGAGCTAAGTCCTTGGCCCTGTTAGTTGATTTATTGATAGCAGCCATTCTTTCTGGAGTGAGATAGGATCTCAGTGTTGTTTTAATTTGCATCTCTTGAGTAACCAGTGATGTTGAGCATTTTTTCACATATGTATTTGCTGTTTCTACATTTCTGTCTGAGAAGTGTCTGTTTATTTCAGATGCCCATTTTCGGATTGGGTTTTTAAATTGAGGGGGGTCTGATTTATTGAGTTCTTTATATATTCTAGATAGTAGTCCTTTGAGGAACAGTTGGCAAAATTTTTTTCTCACACTGAGTTGTCTCTTAGTTCTGTTTATGGTTTCTCTTACTGTGCAAAAGCTTTTTAATAAGATGCTATCCCAGTTGTTGATTTTTTTCGGTGATAATTCTTGTGCGATTGTGGTTTTGTTCATAAAGTCTTTGCCTACACCAATGTCTTCAAGACTTCTACCTATTCTTTCTCCCATCACATTTAGTGTTTCCCCTTATTTAGCAAAGAGAATCTAGATAATAAAGGTATATTCACCTGAATTATCAATACTGACCATGGAGACAGACTCATGGCTTTTTTTGTGGGGGGGATGCTTTAATGCACAAGAGTTTTCAAGTGGTTATTGGCTGGAATTTCTTATCAACTCCTACAAGAAGATAAAAGAAGCATCTAAGGACAAATAGCTCTGGGGTTTTGGAAACTGTCTTCTCCCCCCTTCTAATTCTTCCATTTAGCCATCTGTTCATCATCCAGGAAATTGTTATCGAGTGCCTAAAACATGTCAGGCTCTAGGCCAGGCCCTGGGGATACGGTGGTGAAGCAAAAGGCCCAAGCTCTCTGCCCTAATGGACAATCATAAGAGGACCTGGACTTCATGTCCTATTAATACAAATCCCCACCACAATAAATGTATTATGATAAACCAAGCTCTCTGCAAGGAAGGAATAGTAAGAGAAGTTAATGAGAACAGCAAACGATGGGAAAATAAAATTTAGAAAAAAATTAAATTTGCAATCACTTCCAAAATACTTCAGAATCAACTTAAGAAAAGACATACAAAACCTCTGGGATAAAAACTAGGCAGCATTGCTGAAGGAAATTAAAGACCTAAATAAGTGGAGAGATATGTCATGTTCATGCAATCAGCTAGGACAAGTGCAGAGGGTGGAAACAGGAGAGAACCTAGAATCAAGTTTATAGTTGTTGCCGCAGTACTGAGGATTGAACCTAGTAGGGCCTGTGCCTGATCTGCCCCTGAGCTGTATTCCCAGGTTTCCCAGACCCTCTACAAAAAAAAATTTTGCATTTGAGACAGTCTCACTAAGTTGCCCAGACTGGCCCCAAACTTACAGTCCTCCTGTTCAGCCTGCCAGGTAGCTGGGATTTACAGGCCTGTGCCATCAAACTGCACTCAGCACTAGGTTTTAAGGAACTCTAACATTTAGGGATAAGTAGGTAAGGTGAGCTAGCAAAGGAATTAAAAAGTGACCAAAGGAAAGGGAAGGAAACCAGAAAGGCACAATGTACCAAACTGGGTGGGAAGAGGAAGTTTCAAGAAATTACATTATATGCTAGTTGAATAAGAACAAAAAATGTCCACCGGACTTAGTCATGTAGAAGTCACTGCTGACTTTCAGAAGAGAAGATCCTATGGAAAGATAGGACCAGCATCCAGATTACAGTGGATTGAGAGTGACTGAGAAATAAGGATATGGAGAATATGAGTCTATAGAATTTTAATCAGCCCCACTTCCTATTATAATAATAGGCCAAGTTATAGTGACGATAAAAAAAAAAATTGAACTTGAGAGACATTACAAAAAATCTATGACTTTTGTGAAACCTTACTCCTTGAATTCAGCCTGAGAGGCTGCATTTCCTTTTCCTGTGTCATAGATGGGCACCTTGAGTCATGAGTTCATTTCCTTTGTTATGTTCCTTTTTCTCTCTTTTCCCCTCTCTGATCTGCTTAGAGCACCAGGTTAAAAGATCCTGAGTTCCTTTGCAATATACACCTTTGCAGCCACACTGAACATGGCAGGTGACATCTTCCACATAATCACTCACCACTATGACAGAGGAAGGCCTGGGGTGAGGTGGAGTGAGGGGAGAGCCAGTAGGCAGCTCCTCCTCCTCCTCGACACTCATTTTCCAGTAAACGTCTGTTTGTATTGAAATCCAGATCCTCATGAACATTTATAGAAAATCATAAAAGCAAAACACACAAGTACATTTGGTAGTAAGCAACAGAATGGTCTCGCTAATTCCCCTGTTTATCTGGAAGGAGCATATGTGTGCTGAGAAAAGGAAATAAAGTAAGTAAAATCTCTTAGTTCTAGAAGAGAGCAGAGCTGAAGAGAAGAAAAAGCTACACATCAAGGATACCTGAACCCGCCAAAAGGGTCTTAGGCCACAAAAAGAAATAGGAACGAATGAATATGAAAGAATGAGAAATCAGTAGGGAATCAATACATCCTGGAGAGAGAATGGAGATTCTGTAAGGAAGGATCAGGCCCCAGGAGGCAAAAGAAACAACTGTTCCCTAGGTCGGGAGGAAAGTGTGGGGCTGGGGGGTGTGGTTTAGTGGTAGAGAGCTTGCCTGTCAGGCGTGGAGCCCTAGATTTCATCTCAGAAAGTATAATGGGAGGACCAGGGATTTAGCTCAGTGGTGCCACTGCCTGCCTGGTAAGCACAAGTTCAATCCCCAGTACAAAAAAAAAAAAAAAAAAAACAAAAAAA